ATATTTTTGAATCGAATAAAATATTGTCACAAATGTCTAATAATATATTAATTAGTAGATTATTTATTTTAATTAAAGAAAAAATTCCACTTTCAGACTCTGGATGATAAGATAACAAAATACAAAATTCAGCATCAGCGCAAAGCATTTGCAATTAACATTGTATATAGTAATGTGAAAATTGATGTAATGATTGAAGGGGTCCATCACAGTTCTCTGCCCTAGTTTTAACCTCCAAAAGCAAGCCACCAGCAGCAAGAGCATCTGGGCTTGCTCCATAGCGGATTTTTGTAGGGTGTGTAAAGAAACCACATTTAGTTGTTTTTGAAACTTTTTCAAAATAAGATATAGCAGTTTTTTCAAACTCTACTCCTCTTTTAATATTTTTAATGACTAAAAGTCATCTTCCTTTTTACCAGTTTTTACAGTGCTCCAGCATTCGATAAATTTGTTTTTACCCTGAAGTCCAAGTAAAAAAGGCAATCGAGTTCCAGTTATTTTAAATCTACGTAATTGTTTCCACTCTTCAGTATTTTGTGTAACATCTATATAATTAGCTCCTAGTGGTTTTGGTGAGTTTAAATATCTTATGTCTATATTAAATATCTTATAGTCTATATTTTGGGTTAATTTTTAATTGTTTCTTTATGCTCTTTCTAATATTAGGTGCATTATTGTCTTTTTCAGCATTAGTAGACCTTATTACTTCAATAGGTAAAATATCTTGTGCCAAAATTTCTTCAGAGCTTGCAATACTAATTTGTACATTAAAAGCAGAAAAATTGTCAAAATTTGTTTTAATTGTATTAGTTCTCTGTAACTTAATTGTGTCATCAGATAATATTGTTTCATCAAACAAAAGTGTTTTTGTATAATCATAATCAGCAAGGCAAATTGCTTTTTTTTTTCAAGCATAAAAGTTAAATGCTCTCCTAAAGAAGATTTTTTACCACTATCATATTTAGAAAGAACCGAATAAAAATGTTTAGTAACAGGCTTCTCCTTTTTGAGCTTTTCTTTTAGTTCACGAGATATGTTAGAAACATTACGTTTAAAATACGAAGCATGAGGGTCAGCAGCAGAGCATGTAGTAGGTTTTTTTTTATCTTTGCTGATTTTACTTTAATCTCTTTAAGAGGCACCATAGGGAATAGAGCTTTTTGCAATTCTTTTGTGCAATTTTTGAAGAGTTTGTGTACAAGTGTAAGCTCAAGCATTTTTTCTTTTGTGCATGAATAATGTTGTAAAAACAAAAGTAAACATAATACGTGGCAACATAAACCACTTGAACCAACTGGACAAGGGCAACGTGATTTGAAGGGCACACCATTAACGAATAAAATAACAGCAGGTCTGGCATTTTGTTCATAGGATTTTTTTACCATTGCTTTTACAAAACTGTTACTCAAGTCAGCTTGAAAAACTTTTACGTTTACTATTTTTCTGCTTTGAAGCATACGTGCAGCTTTTTCTTGTTGGCCAATACTTCCCTCGTTTTTATGCAATAAGTATTTTTTAAATATCTTTTGGTCAACAAATGGCATTTTAGAGTATACTATTTCCCATTTTGCAGAATTCGGTGGTATTATCGAAGGATCTAAACTGCATTTAAATTTAAAATTTCTATCAGCCCTGCACTTAATTTTGTTTAGAAAATTCGGATATCTATTAAAATTTTTAATTCGATTTAGCAGTATATCCTTTGTGCCTGAAGTGGGAAGTTGCAGTTTTTTAACCAAGTTGTAGCTTCTTCTAATGTGAATTGATCAATTTTGCATGTTTTTTCCATTATAAAAGAAAGTTATTATGATGAAATATGTTGATATTGTTTATATAGTTGTTTAAACAAATATTGCGCTTTAAAAAAATGTCCCCTCAAGTAAATACTAGTTACCAGGTCTGACGCGGTTTGAAAAAGGCTAATGATGTATAGGTTAATTAATTTAAATTCCACCGCCTTATAAGACGGTTTATACAGGTTATAACCGCTTTATAAAGCGTTTGATACAGGCTGATCCGTTGATTTTAAATGATATGTTTGAAATTTTTATTTTACTCAAAATTAAAAGTGTTTTTTTGTTTATATAAAATTGTTTATATAAACATTTATATAAAATACAGAAAATTTTTTTTTTTTTATTAAAATATTAAAATAATAATTTATAAGTTATTTACCTAAACATAAACTTAAAGTTCTTTAAAATAAGAAATGAAAGTTTTAAAAAGATGTAAAAAAAATTTTCGTTTTTTTTTTTTTAATTTTTTTTGTGAAAAGTATTTTATACAATATTTAAATAACAATTATCATATTTTATTGTCAGTTAATTATCTAATAAAATATAGTTTCTGGCTTAATTATATGTTGAGCGATTATTATTTGAAAACAATGATGTACAATTTTGATATTATTATTATTTCCTTTAAAGAAAATACAGTTTCTAGTTATTTATAAGGATTTACAAAACCCAAAAGATTTAATTAACTGATTTCAAAAACCCGCAAAAGATTTTATTAATCGAGTCAATTTAGCAGTGACGGATTCGTCAAAGGGCGTATAAAATATAGTTTCTGGCTTAATTATATGTTGAGCGATTATTATTTGAAAACAATGATGTACAATTTTGATATTATTATTATTTCCTTTAAAGAAAATACAGTTTCTAGTTATTTATAAGGATTTACAAAACCCAAAAGATTTAATTAACTGATTTCAAAAACCCGCAAAAGATTTTATTAATCGAGTCAATTTAGCAGTGACGGATTCGTCAAAGGGCTTTTGGGGTGAGGTAGGGGTCAAGCTGTCCCCCGAATTTTCTAAGTTAATCAACTGACGCCTCAAATATCAATAATCAACTAATATCAATTATCATTAATCAACTGACGCCTCATATATATACATATATATACATATATATATATATATATATATATATATATATATATATATATATATATATATATATATATATATATATATATATATATATATATATATATATATATATATATATATATATATATATATATATATATATATATATATATATATATATATATATATATATATATATATATATATATATAAATATAATAAACCATCAAACGGAGACGTTTTGTTTTAATAAAATATCTCTTATAATCATAATGCGTTTTTAACATAGTTCAGTGTATCAAAACAACTGTGACTCTACAGTTACAGACGTTCATAAAACTAAAACGACTTTGCAAACGGTAAGCACATTTTTTTTTAAAAACAAAAAGAAAAAAATATATTACTTGATTCCAACATTATTGAGCAATTTAGATTTATTTTTATGTGTTAAAAATGTTTTCGGCAAAAACTCGTATGACATACCCTCTCCGTTTGAAACCTACTCGCGCCGGCCCTACTTTCATAGATGTGCACGCATCAATATCTTCAGCAATAACGACTTAACTACAAACAAAAGACGCACATCCATTCTTAAAAGAGAAATAGATGACATCATGTTTTTCTAATTTGCCTATACTCTACAAAGTCAACTCGACTCTTCCTTTTAGACTAAAGATTATCAAAAATTATCTGTGAACAACAATGATAAAACATTGTCTTTCTGGATTGACATTAATTTTGATAGAATGTGAGCTTGCTGAGAGCCTTGACTTTCAACTTTGACTGAATCCTTAATATATCATTTTGCTTTAACCTAGTGGACGCAGACGTCCGTAGAACGTCTTCACAATGCCCTATAGACGTCACAAGTCCGTATGATGTTTTTAAGACGTTCAACGAACGTTCTGTATCCGCTGGAAATAAAATCACAAAAAAAATTTGTATACTAGCAGGAAAGTATGTTTTTTACTTAATGCTTACTTTCAGTAATATTTATAGTGTGAATATATTTTTAAATTTCTAAATCATTACAATAATACTAAATGTTTCTTTTTTTCTTTTTCAACAATTATTGTTAACCAAAGTAAATTTAGCAAACTCAAACTTTAGATTGTTTAGTGTATTAGACGTACTTAATAGTTATGATAAAAGTCACATAAAGGCATCGATAAAATATATTTCTCACAAGTGCGATCCTCAAAAAAAATGTTACTGAGGCTTAATGTGCTATCATAATTGGGGTGGCACATTATGCCTCAGAAATATTTTTTCAGGGATTTCCACATTTCAACAGGGGTTTGGGCCCAAACCCCTGTTAACCCCTACTCATGCCCTCTACACCCCAAATCTCTGTTACCTCATACTTTGCCCCTTCCCTACCACACATTTAATCCGCCATTACAATTTAGGATGTATAAGTTCCAGCTTATGCGAATTCCTCAAATTTCGCACAATAGATCTAACTAAAGGCAACGCTCAAAGAAGATGATTTTTACTTGGCAACCTTTTTGATTAATATGAGACAGATGCCTTTAAGACGCTTTGAGGCTTGACTTAAACATGGGTGCTTGTTACAAATGATAGCTCTCTATTACAAATGATAGCTCCACGTAGCTCTATAGTTGAAAGTTTCATGAATTGAGAGCTAGAGATGCTGTAAAACAAGGGCCAAGTGGAAGCTATATGCCAAAAGAGTAAGGCTAGACAGGTTTTCCATATCAAATCAGGAGACTTAATGATGTCAGGCCATGGAAAACAGACATTCTAACGTATCATTTCTGTAGATTGTTTTTGAAGTGAGTGTTTCACTTATAATGATTTTGCAATGCCATACCAAGAAGTTTGTATATATATCATACAGCAGTTTATGTGTGAGGTATACAGTGTTGGTGAAATAATTGATGTTGATGCTGTTTGATTTTTCATCAATAGATATACTGTATCAGATGTAAACAAATTTTGTGCTAGCAGTCTGTCACCCTGTAAAACCGAGTATTTACTGCGAATTCTGTGAGCAAACTACTTTTCTATCATTTAGAAACAATGTTCACCGGATTCCTAATGTAATTTAACCTAATAAAAATGGTTGGGAACAAGAAGACAACCAGTATCATTTAAAATGGTAAGAGGAGATTAGTTGCCAAATTACATCAGAAAATCATCAAAAACTCTTTCATAAATATAAAAATGAAAAAATTATTATATAATTATATATATAAAAAAAATTATTATATATAATTATTATATATAATTATAATGTTTTACATTTTTACAGAGGCTAACAAAATAACATAAAGAACTAAAAAATTTATAAGAAGTAGCTTAAAAAAAGGTAAATTTGTGTAGAAGTTTTTGTTTGCAAGTGCAACCGAAGAGCTTTTATAACCTTTGTTTTGAAATTTTAAGTTTGTATTTTTGTTGCAGCCCGACGTATCACAACATCCCACCTAAAAAAATTATTGTTAAATATGATTACATATATATATATATATATATATATATATATATATATATATATATATATATATATATATATATATATATATATATATATATATATATATATATATATATATATATATATATATATATATATATATATATATATATATATATATATATATATATATATATATATGTATCGATAATATATATATATATATATATATATATATATATATATATATATATATATATATATATATATATATATATATATATATATATATATATATATATATATATATATACATATATATATATATATATATATATATATATATATATATATATTTACATATATATATATTTATATATGTATATATATATATATATATATATATTTTTTTTTTTTTATCGAGTGAACAATACGAAATAATAAACAAAACATTAAATAATAACAAAAAAAATGGACAAAGTTAACTAAATCAAAAATATTTAAACGAAGAAAATGAAGTACTAAAAAATAAAATTGCTGAGTTAGAAGACTGAAGTAGGAGAAATAACTTGCGATTTGAGGGTATTGAAGAAACCGAAGGCGAAACATGGGAGAAAAGCGAAGAATTGATAAAAAATCTACTGAGAGAAAAACTGGATATTAAAGAAGGTACACAAATTTTTTATTTTTTTATTTTTTTAAATATATTTCGCTGTTTATATAAAAATAAAATAATAAAATTACAATGAAACTGTTACATTACACAAAGAATATATTTAAAGCACACAGGGGCTCAAAGAAGATAAGGATGACTGATGTCACCACAATCTTTTCATAGAGCCCCTTTACAATATCATTTAAAGCCATCCTAGCTTTAGAAAATTTACAACAAATATTTTATCTGTTAAATACTACGTGAAGAGTAAAGAAAAACTCATATATACATATATATACATATACCCATAAAAACACACACATATACAAACATTCTTACATATATGTCAGAAATTTGAAAGAGCGCATCGTGCTGGAAGAAAAGAACACGAAGAAGGTAAACGTAGAAAGCGAACTATTGTTGTCAAGTTTCTCAATTTTAAAGATTGTGAAAACATTCTCGAAAAATACAAAAAAAAAAGAAATTGTGGAAAGAAAACATGTATATAAACGAAGATTTCAGCGAGCGGACAACTAGTATTCGAAAACAACTTTTCCGTCGAGCTAAAGATCTACGAGCATCAGGTAAATTCGCTAAAGTTGTGTACAATAAAATAATCACTAAGCCGTCTTAAAACAAATTATATCCACGGTTATTTATAACAGAAAAAAGTAAATAATAATAATAAATGAATTCGAAAAATAATAATTATTTTGAAAATGCTTTTAAATTTTTTCAAATTAATGATTTTAAATCGGATGACTATTCCGATCCAGACATAAATTACTTTAACGAAATTAATTTGCCTGAATTTGTATACTCTTATATTCAACCAAATAAAGTTAGTAACTTTATTTGGTTGAAAATAAGAGTATAACGTAATAAAAAAAAATTCTAAAAACATTTTAATCAGCTGTTGCTATAGGCCACCAACTGGTAGAACAGAAAATCTTGGTAAGTTTTTGAAATACAATCTAATAGAAAAAACTAGTCAAGAAAGAAAAAAAAGTTATATTTTGGGTGACTTCAATTTGGATTGTTTTGAATATAAAGAAAACCAAAACATAAAAACATTTATAACAATTTATTTGAAATGGAAACCATACCAATAATAAGATAGAACGACTAGAATTACAAACCATTCGTCTACTATAATTGATAATATATTAAACGCAGACTGTTTTAATCTCTAAAAAAAGGAATTATAAAAACTGATGTTTCAGATCATTTTCCCGTATTTTTTTCTATTAAATCAGAACATCAAATAAAAAACGAGGATAAAATGACAATAAAAAAGCGAATTGTGAACAATTGTAACTTAAAATCATTCAAAGATCAAATTTCACAGCAGGACTGGAATCACATAAACTTTAATGATAACATAAACATTATCTATAACACATTTTTTAAAACTTTCTTTAAAATCTATGACGCTAATTTTCCAATATATGAAATAAATCTCAAGGCCAAAGACATATTATCTCCTTGGATAACTAAGGGACTAAAAAAGTCTTTAAAACTAAAACAAAAATTGTATAATAAACAAAATCTGAAAAACGTCAACAAAATTACAAAAACTACAAAAAATTGTTTAAAAATCTCCGCAAAAATGCTAAAAAAAAAATATTATTCTAAATTGGTTACTGAGCACAAAACGCGTCTGGGAATTAATGAAAGAAATTACAAATTAAAAGTAATTTCAACTTCTCTTCCACTTGCAATAAAAGTAGGAAATAAAATAACTAACAATTCTAATGAAATTGCGACTGAATTTAACAAACTTTTTTCCACTATAGAAACAAATTTATCAAACAAAATTCCTTTATTAAATTATAAATTACCAGATGAACGTTAAACGTCAAACTCCTTACATTTTACAAACCTAACGCTTGAGGAATTTGATACAGCTTTTAGATCGTTAAAAAAAAAGAAATCAGTAGGACTTGACAGTATAAATGGAAATATTATAATAGAATCTTATGATGTCATGAAGGATATTCTTTACAAAATCTTTAAATTATCCATTAAACAAGGTTCTTTCCCAGACTCTCTGAAAATAGCAAAAGTAATTCCTATTTTTAAAACAGGAGACCCAACCAATATAACAAATTACAGACCTATTTCTGTTCTTCCAGTTTTTTCAAAAATATTAGAAAGAATAATGTATAACAGAGTGTACACATACCTAATTACCAATAAGCTCCTTTATGAAAATCAGTTCGGTTTTAAAAAAAAAAAAACTCAACCGAACATGCTATTCTTCAATTAACACGTTATATTAAAGAATCTTTTAAAAATTAAAAATTTACACTTAGTGTTTTCATTGTCAAAAGCTTTTGACACGGTCGATCATAATATTTTGCTTAAAAAACTTGAATGTTATGGCATAGCAGGTAAAACTCTAAGTTGGTTCAAAAGTTATCTCTCCAACCAAAAGCAATTTGTTTTTAATAAAGATTCCCAACCTCAAACATTAATGAACATAATATATGGTGTCCCACAAGGATCCATACTTGGGCCACTTCTTTTCATTATATATATAAATGATCTTAACAAAGCATCCAATTTAAAGACTATAATTTTTGGAGATGACACAAACTTGTTTCAGTCACATGAAAATATAAACCTACTTTTAAATAATATGAACAGAGAACTTAAAAAAAATTTCAATTTGGTTCAAAAAAAATAGGCTATTTTTAAATATTTAAAAAAAAAAAATGGATACTTTTCCATCCAAACTATAAAAAACAGATACTGCCTGTAAATATGCCTAATCTTTTTATAGACAATGTCATTCTAAAAAGAGAAAAAGTGACAAAATTTTTGGGTATTTTTATTGAAGAAAATCTGTCTTGGAAGTCACACATCAATAATATTTCTAATAAAGTTGTAAAAAACATTAGAATTCTATACAAATCTAGAGGTATTTTAAACAAAAAGCAATTAACACAATTATATTACTCTTTTATTCACTGTCATATCAATTATGCAAATATTATATGGGGAAGTACACATAAAACTAAACTTAAACCTCTTTATCGGCATCAGAAACACGCAGCTCGCATAATAAATTTTAAAAATCGTTTTTCGAACTCTGAACCGCTTTTTAAAGAAATGGACGTTTTAAATGTTTATCAACTAAATGTATTTAATGTTTTGTGTTTTATGTACAAATGCAAAGAACTTATGTTCCCCGATGTATTTGTAAACCTTTACAAAATTAAACCCCAAAACAAATATAACCTACGTAATAATAGCTTTTTAGAAAAACCTTTTTGCAATAATAAACAAGCTCAATTTTGATAAATAAAAGTAAATTAAATTTAAAAAAATTAAATATATACACATATGTATGTATATATATATATATATATATATATATATATATATGTATATATATATATATATATATATATATATATATATATATATATATATATATATATATATATATATATATATATATATATATATATATATATATACACACACATATATATGTATATATACATATATATGTATACAGTGGCGGATTAAGACTTCTTGGGGCCCGGGGCTTTTTTTGTTATTGGAGATCTTTTATGGGCCAGAGCCTAAAATTGACTAAAAAAAAAAAGGTCCTCCAAAATTTTTTGGGGCCCCTAAATTTGCGGTGCCCGAGGCTATAATGTATATATATATATATATATATATATATATATATATATATATATATATATATATATATATATATATATATATATATATATATATATATATTTATATATATATATATATATATATATATATATATATATATATATATATATATATATATATATATATATATATATAATTAAATTAAATATTATACTAAAAAAACGAAACTAAAGAAGATTTTTTTTACACCTACTTCGTTAAAGTTAAAGAAGTTCCAAATACTAATACTCCCCCTGCAACCTTGCAACCTCGGTTCAACAAAACGATTAATATACTACTTTTCTGAATTAAAACTTTTAACGAGAACTTTGCATTTTCTTTTTATTACTTCAATTTAATTAATAAAAGTAAATTATTAAAAATATTTTAGTTATAGAGAAATCCTGTTTAAGTCTTTTTGCAATTATGGATGTGTTTTTATGGTGTTTTAAAAAAAGAAATGTTTATCTTTTAAAAGCACTGTATATAAAAAACGTACATAAATTTATTAAAAGGAAAAAACACAACTAATTTAATAAAAATTGTTGCTAAAATATAAATATTACTTCAAATATTTTTCTTGATTTCATTGATGACAAAATTGCGCTATAAAAACTATAGTAGTTATTAAAAGTTTACAAAAATATAAAGCATAAAAGACAAAATCTTTCTTTGGT